AGGGCGCCTTCCGGTTGGGCCTGGCGGGGCAGGATCTCCGGGAGCTGGGAGGAGGCATTTCCGTGCGCTCCCGGGACAGGACTCGCTCCCGTAGTGCCTGGGCCTGCTTCCCCAACCCGGACCTAAATGGCGCCGCACCCCTGGGTCTGGGGGCCCCGGGAGCCCGTAAAGAAGCAGGGCGAGGGTCGGGGCTCACTTAGCTGCGGGACTGGGGGTCGCAGGCAGTCAGGCTTGGCACTGGTGTCCCCCGAGGAAAGGGAGCTGAGCCCGGGCTGCTGGGGCTACGACACGGCGGAAGATGGACGCACCACGTATTACCCGTCATACACTAACCAGGAAATAGCCACCGCTTTATGGTCCTCACCGGCCTTTATTTCCCTCTTCTCCCTAAACCGGATTAGAATCCTGGCTTGGGGACAGCCTTGATAAACTTGGGGTGAAGAGCTCTTTACACGTGTACAGGCGCTCAACCACACGCACCCGCCTGCGAGGCCTTTCTTGTAACTTTCTCCTCACCCTGTTCTCGCCTCTAGATGAGGCTCCCATCCCACTGGTCTCTAACTAGGCAGCTTCTGACTATAAGGGGGCTCGAGTTTCCCAGTCCTCTTGTCTAGCCGGGAACAGTCCGTTTTGCGTTTGGCCTAAAATCGATTGGTTGGTTATTTAATTAGCATTTTCCACATCAAAGCTTGAATCTTAACCACTCTTCAAGTGACTTTCACTTAGGGCTGTAGCTCAGTGGCATTCTGAATGGTAGATTGGCAGGGCAGTAAAGTCATGTAAATTAGAGGTTGCTTGTGAGTAGTTGTGCCTTTAGATCTTAATTCATTAAAGACATGGTTTTGCATAAGAGGTAGTGTAGTACTAATTCTGAAAGATTTGGGGGAGTCTTCTGTCATTCCTGATAAGCGGGGAAATGAAGCAGCCAGACTTCTGTATCCCTGGGTTAGCTGGACTCTTATTTTAGCTAACAAAAGTTACAGACTTTTGGCTGTTGTACCTTCAATCACGGCCTGAAACTTCTTACCTGTGTATTTATTAAAGGGACACAGTTCCAAGTTGGTGACATGTCTTTGTGCTGTATTTGTGACTTTTCACCTTAAGATAATTTTGTTCACAGGTTAAACACTTTCCTATTGTTTTTTTCCCATAAGAAACTTACCTCAAAGTGTAAGAAGTGTTCATTTTCAATGGGCATCCTTTTTGTTAATGGTATGGTTACTAATATTTTTCTATGTTTTGAACATTTAGGGAAAGTTACCATGTAAAACTCAGAACTGTTTCTTAAGTATAGTTCCACCACAGAGTCATAAATAAGCTTAAGAGTAGTATTTTACACTTTTAGCCCATGTTTTGTATGAACTGCTGTAAATAGGGAAAGATATGTATTAATTAAGTTGGAGGTGAGTAAAAAGGCCTTAGATTAATTCACAGATTTAAAATGTAAACATCAATTTCACTGAAATTTTATTGCCAGGAACATTAAAATTTTTAAAGCCAGAAATTGAATATAAAATATTTGATAAAAGATTTTTGAGAGTCTATGGTATGTAGAGAAAATTGCTGGACAAAAAAATTTGTTTACCCATTACGAATACCTATTTAAGCAGTTATAGAAAGAATGAAATTAAGATATAACCAAAAAATTAAGTGTCAGTCATTTTTTTTGGCTGTTAGCCAAAATAATTTACTTCTTACAGTTTCCTGAAAATATTTCTTGAAAACTAGGCATTCACCTTAAGCAGATAACAGTACTGAAAAGGGTATCATCAAGTGAATTTGTTCCCACCAAGAAGTAGCTAGTGAAGATGATACGGAAGGAAGAGAAAAATTGCCAAGGGAAGGTTGCTGAGTTAAGTGTTTAATAAATACTTGTGGAATTGGATTATTAATTAAAAAACGATTTTCAGAAGTTGTAGTTTGCCCTTTAGATAAACTTTCTGTGAAGCCAGTTTCCAAATAGAAATAATAACTAATAAGGCTTTTGTAGCAATATGTGGTAGGCACTGTTCTAAGTACTTATATGTGTTGACTCATATTTTAAATATATATTGATAATATTGAGGTAGATGACATTATGTCCTTTTAATAGGTGAGAAAACTGATGCCAGAGAAGGTAAGTTACTTGCCTGAGGCCACATAACCAGTACAGGTAGAGGTGGGATTTGAACTCAGTCTGAATTAATAGTCTTCTGTGCTCTCATAGCCCTTTATCCTAAAAATAGGATGGTAAAAACACTTGGTATTAAATTGAGTAGTTCTGTGTTGATAGTGTTTTTAAGTGCTCAAAAGAAATGTTTGGGTAAGTCTAACTCCATAATGGGTTGTTACTGAGGATATGTTTGGGTTAGCATTAAAGAGGGATAGGGCCGACTTTGTG